AGATGCCCAGCAGAGAGAGAGCCCCGATTACTAGCAGACACCAATACCCACAACCCAGCATACTACCCAGACAGGATCACCATCTATCTTTGGAAGAATGGCAAGATCTTAGCATGGAACTATACCTGTGTGTCCACACTGGCTGACACCTATATCCATCACAGTGTGGGGCGACAGGGAGGAGCTGCTGACCACAGGGAGGAGCTGCTGATCACAGGGAGGAGTACAAGATCAGCAAGTACAGGGACATAACCAACAGTATCAATTTGTCCCAGTGGGATCAGAGACCTTGGGATCATGGGAAACATGACACAAGTTTCCTTAAAGAACTGGGTTCCAGACTCATCGACACCACCAGGGACACAAGGGCAGCCACTTTAATGTTCCAGCGCTCTATCGTGGCCATCCAGAAAGGAAATTCATGCTGCTTACTTGGCTCACGTCTGGCTAAGGAGCAGCTGGAGGAGATTCATAAAGTTTGATATATTGTACCAATGTATTCATATTTGTGTTTTCTGTCACTGTATTCTGTGGGTGGTGTTACACCAACACTGCAGTGCTTAGGTGGTCGGGTGTTGGGCAGTGTTACACCAACACAGCAGTGCTCGTGTGGGCGGGTGGTGGTCGGTGTTACACCAACACTGCAGTGTTCGGGAGGGCTGGCGTGTGTGCGGTGTTACGCCACTGCAGTGCTCAAGTGGCGGGTAGTGGGCTGTGTTACACCACTGCAGTTCTCGTGTGGGTTGGTGGTAGGCTGTGTTACACCAACTCTGCAGTGGCCGGGTGGGCGGTTGGTGGGCGGTGTTACACCAACACTGCAGTGCTCGGGTGGGAGGGTGATCGGTGGTGTTACACAAACACTGTAGCGTTCGGGTGGGCGGGTGTTGGTCGGTGTTACGCCACTGCAGTGCTCGGGTGGGCGGGTATTGGGCGGTGTTACACCACCGCAATGCTCGGGTGGGTGGCTGGTGGGCAGTGTTACACCAACACTGCAGTTATCGGGAGGGCGGGTGGTGGGCTGTGTTACACCAACACTGCAGTGGGCGGGTGGTGGGCGGGTGGTGGTCGGTGATACGCCAACACTGCAGTGCTCTTGTGGGCGGGTGGTGGACGGTGTTACACCAACACTGCAGTGCTAGGGTGGGCTGGAGGTGGACGGTGTGACTCCACTGCAGTGCTCGGGTTTGTAGGTAGTGGGCGGTGTTACACCGCTGCAGTGCTCTTGAGGGTGGGTGGTTGGCGCTGTTACATTAACACTGCAGTGCTCGGGAGGCCGGGTTGTGGGCGGTGTTACACAAACACTGCAGTGGTCGGGTCAGCAGGTGGTGGTTGGTGTTACACCAACACTGCAGTGGTTGGGTGGGCGAATGGTGGGCGGTGTTGCACCAACACTGCAGTGCTCGGGTGGGTGGGTGGTGGGCGGTGTTACTCCAACACATCAGTGCTTGGGTGAGCGCGTGGTGATCGGTGTTACACCGACACTGCAGTGGACGGGTTGGCGGGTGGTGGGTGGTGTTACACCAACATTGCAGTGCTTAGGTGGGCAGGTGGTGTTCAGTGTTATACCAACACTGCAGTGCTCGTTTGAGCGGGTGGTGGGCGGTGTTACACCAACGCTGCAGTGTTCAGGTGGGAAGGTGTGTGTGCAGTGTTACGAAACTGCAGTGCTCAAGTGGGCGGGTGGTGGGCGGTGTTACACCACTGCAGTGCTTGTGAGGGTGGGTGGTGTGCTGAGTTACACCAACACTGCAGTGGTCGGGTGGGCGACTGGTGGGCGGTGTTACACCAACACTGCAGTGCTCGGGTGGGCGGGCGGTCGGTGGTGTTGCACCAACACTGCAGTGGTTGGGTGGGCGGGCAATGGGCGGTGTTACACCAACAATGCAGTGCTCGGGTGGGCGGGTGGTGGGCTGTGTTACGTCACTACAGTGATCGGGTGGGAGGGTGGTGGGCTGTGTTACACCACTGGAATGCCTTCTCCCTGAAAGCTGACTGCCTTGGATCAAACGCCTAGCGCAAGCTGGACGCCAGTGCTTTGTCCAGTGTGGTGAGATTCGTATAGCTCTGCGTACCTTGTTCCTAGGTTCGTAGGTTCGAGTCTCCTTCAGCCAAAGATCAGTGTTTGTGTATATTTCGCCTGCTCTTGCGAATTCCTTGCATTGTTACACTCTCTCGCAAGGCTGATGCATGCAGGGTATGAGATGAAAAGCTGTAAGCCTTCTCCCTGAAAGCTGGCTGCCTTTGATAAAAAGTCTAGCAGAAGCTGGACGCCAGGGTATTGTCCAGTGTGGTGAGATTGGTATAGCACTGCGTACCTTGTTCCAAGGTTCGTAGGTTCGAGTCTCCTTCAGCCAGAGATCAATGTTTGTGTATATTTCGCCTGCTCTTGCGAATTCCTTGCATTGTTAAACTCTCTAGTTAGGCTGATGCATGCAGGGGATGAGATAAAAAGCTGTAAGCCTTCTCCATGAAAGTTGGCTGCCTTGGATCAAACGTCTAGCGCAAGCTGGACGCCAGGGTATTGTCCAGTGTGGGTAGATTGGTAAAGCACCGCGTACCGTGTCCTAAGGTTCGTAGGTTCGAGTCTCCTTCAGCCAGAGTTCAATGTTTGTGTATATTTCGCATTCTCTCGCGAATTCCTTGCATTGTTCAATTCTCTAGTAATGCTGATGCATGCAGGGGATGAGATGAAAATCTGTAAGCCTTCTCCCTGAAAGCTGGCTGCCTTGGATCAAATGCGTAGTGCAAGCTACACGCCAAGGTATTGTCCAGTGTGGGTAGATTGGTAAAGCACTGCGTACCTTGTCCTAAGGTTCGCAGGTTTGAGTCTACTACAGCCAGAGATCAGTGTTCGTGTATATTTCGCCTGCTCTCGCGAATTCCTTACATTGTTCAATTCTCTAGTAAGGCTGATGCATGCAGGGGATGAGATGAAAATCTGTAAGCCTTCTCCCTGAAAGCGGCTGCCTTGGATCAAAGGTGTAGTTTAAACTACACGCCAAGGTATTGTCCAGTGTGGGTAGATTGGTAAAGCATGGTTTATATATATATAATATATATATATATATATATATATATATATATATATATATATATATATATATATAAATATATATATATTATATATATATATATATATATATATAATTGTTGGTCGACAAAATAATTGAAACACCTAGCATCTTCTCATAATAATTTTGTAACGTGTATAAAATCATGAAATTTTGCTATTTTTGTGTTTTTATGATTTATTATTGGTCTTTCTTATTCCTTTTTGGTGAGAATGTTATTTTTTTACAGTTTTATGAAGAGAAATTAACTACAATCCCTAAAATGATTGATCTGTCAGACTTTGAATGGGTTCGAATTGTTGGTGCTCATATGGGTGGTTGTAGCGTAACGAAAACAGCTGGACTTTTTGGTTTATCAAAAGGTATTGTCTCGAAGGTGATGACAGCCTTTGCAAAAGATGGGAAAACCTCTTCATCAAAAAAAAAAACTCTGGAAGGAAGCGAAACCTGTCAGATAGGGATCGTCGAACTCTTTCACGGATTGCTAGAAAGGATCATAAGACTACAGCATCCAAAACTGCAGCAGAGCTTAATGAACACCTCCATAACCCAGTTTCCACAAAAACTGTAAGAAGGGAACTTCATAAAGCTGGATTATATGCGAGAACTGCAATTGGGAAACCCTTACTTTCAAAAGCCAATGTTGAAAAGCATGTAGAGTGGTGTAAAAATCATGAATAGTGGTCCTTAGACAACTGGAAGAATTTTATTTTTCTCCTTATTTCACCTTATTTCCAACCTCAGGCCGAGTATACATGTGGAGACAGCCAAAAGACGCATATGATCCCGACTGTCTTCTTCCAATTGTTAAACACGGAGGAGGTTCTGTGATGATTTCGGGTGCTATATCTTGGAAATCTGCAGGCCCAGTGGTTGCCCTTCATGGCAGAATTAAAAGTTAAGATTATTTAAACATTTTAGGAGAACATCTTCATCCTGTGGTTGCAACACCATCATCACTTAAGGAACTGGAGACTGTTTTATTTGAAGAATGGACAAAAATACCCCTAGAATCTATTCAAACGTTGTATGAATAAATTCCTCGTAGAATTCAAGCAGTAATTACTGCCAAAAATGGTCGTACACCATATTACGATAAATTTTTTTAAAATTTCAAGGTGTTTCCATTATTTTGGCTAACCCCTTGTTTTGAATTGAATCTCACGAAATACACGGATATGACTTTTGGTGATCAGTCAAGTCGACCGGATACCAGAGTGAGCATAGTTTCAAACATATCACCAGAGTCACCAACAAACGAAAATCCTCTGTAGACAAAACATTTTTTTTCATAAATGTGAGGGAAAAGTTCAATAGATCTGAGTAGAGAGGGAATATATATATATATATATATATATATATATATATATATATATATATATATATATATATATATATATATATATATATATATTATATATATATATATATATATATATAATATATATATATAATATATATATATATATATATATATATATATATATATATATATATATATATATATATATATATATATATATATATATATATGTATATATATAATATATATATAATATATATATTAATATATATATATATATATATATATATATATATATATATATATAATATATTGATAATAGTTTAATTGCCGGCTACTCGTTAAGGTAGGGTCAGTCTAGCTCCCGATATTCCTGCCTTTTCTCCCCCAACCCCTAAATTGATAGTTTGTCTGCCGGCTACTAGTTAAGGTAGGGTAAGTTAAGCTCCCGTTTTTCCCACCTTTTCTCCCCATCCCTGAAAGTGATAGTTTGACTGCCGGCTGCTTGTTAATGTAGGGTCAGTCTAGCTCCCTCTATCCCTTCCCCTCCCTCTTCCCCCCCCCGGGAAGGTGACGTGTGGGGCTCTGGTTAAACAGTAAATCACTAGACTCACAGCTCCCAACTCTACTGTAAGTACATGCCTGTCTTGTATTCTAGTGGATTTATTGGTTGAAATCTTCACTTTTGATCAATAATAAACTTAGTCTTTTCAGCCTTGCTCTATGTTGACTGTTGTAATAATCACCACATCTTTTAAGTATCAGACTTACCACGGAGAGTGATTATTTAAGCAGTGGGTAACCTGTCTATCTTTCCAGCTTGGATGTCAGAGAGGGTCACCTGGCCATCAACGAGGAGAACAGGAGAAGGACTAACGTCCAGAGACTTCTCCATTTTTGAACTACCTGTGTACCTGTATGAAATTGCATGACGTAACTCCACAGCATTGCAGCGGTAAAGAACCTGCTTTCCTGTCATCGGGAGAGATTACTCACTGGTATACTGTGACGAACTAGCCAGTGGTGGTCACCAACACCTGCGACCCCCACCCCATCATCAGCAACGGCTACGATTGCAACAACAGTGTCACCAACACCAGACACCTTTATTAGCGTTGAATTCAGTTATTTATATTTTTCATTTTTCATTTTCTTTAATGTAGGATTAATATTTCATATTTAAGTGTTTTATATTTTATATTCTATATAATAGTGTTTGTCTGTTATTTCTTTTTCTATTCATTAATTTTCCTGAGGAGGAGCCAGCCTGAGTAATACTGACTGAAATTGTTACAGGGCTGAGTAATCCTTCACAATAAATCTAAGAGTAGCTTCAGGAATCTCAACCATCATTCGAAACCCTCTATATAATATTTGTCATGCCCATTTTGGAATATGCAACACTAGAGTTTAACTAACACTTGATATATCAGCAAGAATTATCCCCAGTTAAGGGGTTCAAGCATTTGATAAAAGAACAAGTGGAGACGTTGTATAACTATACAAAATAATTTTAGGGAATTTAGATGATAGACAGAATTTGACTGTTTGAAAGATTAGAGAAGGTAATATACAGAAGAGATATGAAGAATTCAAGACATAATTTAAACTCAGGATGGTCAGGAAGAGGAATGGACTAGATAAAGATGTATGTAGATCGAATCTGGTAAGTTGCAACAAGAAAATTATGGCAGCAGCTGAGACTCAACCCTTGTAACCATATAATGTTTATTAGATACACATAGAAAAGTACAAACACACTCACAATATAGACAAAGGCATAGTTATGGAGGCAGACTTTATTAAGGAAAACGAAATTTTTAGGACAATACCTTTTACTTTAGAAAGAAGTGACGGATCACAGCGTGAATCATTTAATAAAACCTGAAGAACTCCAGAATGGTTGCGCCTCGCTGCACAGTGTAGAGGTGTCCATCCATCATCATCCTGACAGTTGGGATCAGTAGCAGCAAGAAGGATCTTCACACAATCTATATGACCAACCGCAGCTGCTATGTGAAGAGCGCTCTTACCTGCACCACAAAACATTTTGATTTGATTCATCGAAATATAATTAAAATTATTATTGTCAGTAGTTGTAGCAGCAGTAGCATTAGTAATACGAATAGTAGTCATAGTCGTTTTAGAATCAGCAGTACTAATATTTATTTTCTTAAAATTTATGTATTTCACATTATGTTTCAACAACAACAACAACCATTGTTATGGTTATTAAAAATAATAATGATAACAATAATAATAGCAAATCAAGTCCTAAAAAGTATTTGTCTACATTTACTCATATCTTAAATCGTCACAAGTGCTACCTGGAAGACCAGACTCCTCGCACACAAAACCTCCTTTACCACCTGAGACCTCTCCTAGGTTGACCTCTACACTTCCTTCCCTCTACTGCAGATTTATACACTAAGTCATTCTGTTTTGTTCGATGCTCTCAAAATGTTCGAACCACCTCAACAACAACTCCTCAGCCAAAGGGGGTAGAAACCCCTTCTCCTGTATATATTACTAAATTTGCAAGGAGAAACTTCTGTTTTTCCGTTTGGGCCACCCAGCCTCAGAGGGATATGGCTGGGACATTGAAAAAATAATATTTATATATATGTCGTGCCAAATACGTAAAACTTGCGATCTTGGCTTAAATAGCAACGCTCATCTTGCCAAATAGGACAAGCGAAAATTTGTGTATGCAATAATTTTGCAAAAATCATTCTGAATCTAACAAAAAAATATATTTCATTGTGTTTATTTATTATTAAATTATTGTAAACTTATCTAAAATATATCTAGTTTGATTAGCCTAAATTAAATTGAGCTTTTTGTAATAAGGTTTAGTTAGTTTTCTAAGGTTCTTGTGGAAAATTTATATTTTCCGAAAATACAGTGTATTTTGTATGTAAATTGATGATATATATTGTAGTTAATAAAAAATAATTTGTAAAGAATAAAGAAACCAGTGAGGATGTTAGTGTTGCTTGCAGGAGGCCATTGTTTTTGAACTCGGCAAGATAAATGATAGTGAAAATCAGAAGAATTTTCATCGATCTAGAGGATAAATTGTGTTTAAAACCTCTCAAATAGGAGCAGAAATTGTTGGATTTGCAGTCCTGCAGAATGTGATAAACAGGCAACTGGACAGGACTCAGTAAGTAGATGGGAAAAGGTTAAAATTACCCCAGACATTGTTCGCATCGCTGTTGGGCCGTGCGGACGCACTGCGCAGTAGCTCCCACTACACCTGGTTTCTGCGCAGTTTTCACTGTTCAGACATGGCGGAGTACACCGGCAGGAGGATTAACACAGTCTGCATTGAGCTGTTGAAGGGTTCTCTGAGCCCTGCTACGATGAATTTCCTTCTTCCTGCGATTATTAGGGATTTATATGGAATCCCTAATGAGGAGCTGTATGGTGTGGCCCTTAATGGGATGAAACGAGTATTTGTGAAGTTCCTGAGGACTAGCTACTACAGCAGTGTGGTGGAGGAGTACCAGGAACGCCGAATGTGCCTCAACTCGACGATGGATGTGTGCATGCATGACGTGTCTACTTACTACACGTGGGTACGAGTGAGGAATGTACCCTTTGAGGCAACTAAGTTTGGTATAGAGGAAGTTTTTAGCAAGTATGGAGTCATTCATGAAGCTAGAGGAGGGGTATGGAGGGATGGACCATATGAGGGCCTCCCGGAAGGGTCATACAATATCAAGATGACCTTAAAGACGCCTATACCTTCGTATGTCATGTTGACAGGCACCAGAAATCAGGTATATGTGTCGTATGTGGGGCAAAGGAGAACGTGTCGTCTTTGCGGCTCTTATGACCATATAGCGGCGCAATGTGCACGTAGAGTTGCCCCGGGGGTGTCAGCCCCGGTAGAGGTGGTCCAGCAAGCGAGTGTGGTGGCGGCGGCGAGGACTGGGACTCTATGGAGTGAGGAGGTGGAGAAGGAAGGTGAACAGATGGGGACGTGTGTCACACTCCCGGTGGAGGATGGAGATCCTACTCCAACGCCTGTGGTGGTGGAGGAAGTGGTGGAGTCGACACAGGAGGTGTCCTTGGAGTCAGTGCTCCAGGAATTCTTGGAGGAGGCTTTGGTAGGAGAGGACATGGATGGACGGACCAGTGAAAAGCAGCAATTGCAAGGGCAGAGTGAGAAGACGGAAGTAGCAGGGAATACTGGAAAGGATACACTTGAAGTGGCAGAGGTACACAGGGAGGATGTACCTGAGGAAGAGATGGCTGTGGGAGGAAGCTCTAGGAAGCGGCCAGCGGGGTTGACTGAATTAGATGATGTTTTAACACCTGGGCAAAGACCAGGCAAGAAGGCATGGGCAGAGGTGGTCCGCAAATCCCCTACAGGGGGGGAGTACAGGAAAAATCGGGGGGGGGAGAGACAAGGGGGGGTAGGGGGTCTTATTAAAAAGAGTAATAAGGAAAGTGTGAGCAGCTTGAAGGGAAGTGTGAGCAAGCCACAGCGGCACAGAGGTAAGCCGCCTTTCCTTGACCATTCAGGTGTGTAACGTTAAATGCTAATGGCCTAAAGACTGAAGTAAAAAGGGTGTGGTTGGAGTGGTTCCTCAAAAGGTATGACGTGGATATTTGTTTCCTACAGGAGCATAACTATAAGTCAGGTAATGAATTGAGATTGAGAGGATATAAGTTGTTTGTAAGCATGGCAACGCTTTTAAAGGGTGGAGTGGCTATTTTAGTAAAGGAGACCAGTCCCTTGCGAGTCATGGGGTGGGAGGAGGGGGGGGAGGGTTGTTCGGGTGGATGGGTGGTGGGGGGAGAGTAGGGTGTGTTTTGTGGGATTTTATATGCCTGCGATTGGTAACGTGAGGATAAAATCAGATTTTGTTCGCTACGTGTTGTTATACTATCTCAGGGGTTTACCTGCCATAGCGATAATTGGAGGTGATTGGAATTGTGTGATTAGGCATGCAGACGTAGTACCTAGAGGGGCGGGGTGCGTGTTGGGTGTCTTAAGGGATGCACTGTGTGATGTCGGGGTGGTAGATGTGGTTGGAGGGGGGAGGTATCAGGTTGAGCATACCTATGTACAGGGGAGTTATGAGGCAAGGTTGGATAGGATTTATGTGAGGCAGGGGATAGGAGTGGAGAGAGTTAGAACAGTAGACGTGGGTTTATCTGACCACAGAGCAGTGTTGGCTGACCTTAGGGTAGATGGTATTCCGAGAATATATCAGAGCTATTGGAAATTAAATGTGAGGCTTTTAAAGGAGGAAGATCAAGGTCGGTCTTTTCAGTCATGGTGGAAAGGGTTTTGGGAGGCTAGGGATGAGGAGGTGGATTTGCTAGATTGGTGGGAGTTGCAGGCAAAGGGGGAAAATTGCAGAATTTTTTAGGAAGAGGGGAAGGGAACGGGCACGCTGGAGGTTTGGATTGCAGAATTATTTAGAGGGTCAGTTGAATGATTGTTATGCGGCGGGGGGGTAGGGGGGGGAGGGGGAGTACGAGGAGTCATGGGGGAACTTAGGAGTCGTTTATGGAGATGCATAATGAACGTTTTGATGCACTCAGGGTCAGGGCAGGATTGGAGGACGTACAAAAAGGTGATAAGCCAACCGGTATGTCTCAAAATTCAAGACAGACAGTTGAGGATACGGGGCACTATTGTGGGAGGTGGGGAGGGTTATGTGAAGGGACAGGGTCTCTCTGACACAAAATTCTATCAGTAGGTATGCTGATTCTTGGTTTAAGGAGAAATGGAAGAAAAGGGGGAGGGGTAGGTGGGCTTAGAAACTTTTAGGGCGATAAGGGTTCCGCAGGGTATGGACAGGGGGATCGGGAGTGGTTGGAGGGAGGCATTACGGGGGCAGAGGTGGGGGAAGTGGTGAATGGGTTGAGTCAGGGGAAGGCACCGGGAATAGATGGGTTATCTAATGATTTTTACAAAGCACATTGGGAGGTTCTGAGGGAGTGCCTAGTGGCGGTTCTGAATTATATGTTGAAATGGGGCAGAATGGCGCAAACACAGAGAACTGGGGTCGTTGTCTTGGTGCCAAAGAAGGGGGGAGAGGAGAAGGGTTTGGGAGATTATGGGCCGTTGTCGTTAATTTGTGCACGGATTACAAAATTTTTGCGAAGGTATTGGGGAACAGGCTAAAGAAGGTAATTGGGAGTAGCGTACATGAGGGACAGTATGGGATTCCGGGACGGACTATGAAGAATGGGCATAGTGGGATAAGGGATTTTATAGAGAACTGTCAGGGAGGGGGCGTACTTGGCTTGGATTGGGCACAGGCATATGACTGCATGAAGAGGGACTTTTTGTGGGCTGTTTGGAGAGATTGGGTTTTGGAGGGGGGGTAGTGAGGTGGGTGCGCACACTGTATGAGGGGGCTGTTATGAGGGTGCAGGTTAATGGTAAGCTGGGGGGGCGGTGATGATGGAACAGGGATTAAGGCAGGGTTGCCCACTGTCACAGTTGCTCTTTGCATGTGTGCAACATCCTTTCTTTGAGGCTGTGGACGAGGAATTGCGGGGGATAGGGGGGGAAGTATGGGGGGCATAGTAGGTTATGTGGATGATACAACTGTGTTAGTTACGAGTGGGGAGGCGTTAAGAAGGGTGGGGGAGGTCATACGGAGTTTTGGGAATGTTTCAGGAATGGTAGTTAATTTAGCAAAGTCTAGGTTGTTGGAAGTAGGAAACATGGGTTGGGGGGAGATTGGGGGAGGAGATGGGATGGACGGTTTGTGACAGAATTAGAGTGTGTGGGATATGGTATATGAAGCAGTTGCAGGAATGTAGGCGGATTAACTCAGAAGCAGTCACGAGTAGGGTTATAGGCAAGTTAAAAGGTTTGAGGGTCAGTGAAGTGGCGTTACAGCAGAGGGCGTTGGTAATTAACTCGGTGGTGTATAGTAAGGTCTGGGGTGTAGCGGAGGTGTTCTCTTTGAGGGTGCAGGATTACAGGAAATACAGAGGAGGGGTGTTGAGGTTTGTGTGGGGGTTTGGGAGGGCCTGGTTGTCCAAGGAGGTGGTCATG